AAATTGCAGGCTCTATGAGGAGCTGCCCATGATCACAATGCACACCAACACCAAAGGCAAGACAGTTTCCTTTTGCACAGGCCTCGCTGCCCTGGAGAGGTGGCTCAGTGGGAGAGCATGCCTGGCACCCCCAGGTAGCCTTTACTATGGTTGTCATCCATAGTTTGGACTGGTGTGTTCACATGTGAGTGTGCAGCAGCAGGCTTGAGGCGGCTCCTCCAGGACGGTGCTGCTCTGGCTGCTGAACACTCACTGAAAGAGACTGGCTGGCAGAGAGGCTGGGGGCTGGCGCTCCTGAGATGACAGAGGCCCACTCCCATGGCACAGACAGGTCAGCACTCTCTTCTAGCACCTCCCATGAGGCCACTGTAGTTTGGAATGTGGTCAAACATGGTAACAGCATACACAGTGACACACAGTGTCTCCCTGAACCCTTCTCATTATTACAGGAGACAGGAGAAATGACCATGACCCATGTAAGCACACATGCAACTCACAAATCATCACAAACTTGCTTCTCCAACTTTTGAGAAACACACATACATACATACACACACACACACACACACACACACACACACACACGCAAAATTTCAGAGGATATTAACACCAAAACGGTAACGCTGTTACCTGGTTAGCAGGATTACAGCTTCCCTTCTTATCACTGTCTTTTGTGTATGCTGACTATTGTAACCATTTGCTTTTAGAACCGTCAAGTACACTGGCAGAAATAAATAAAAGAATGTAGTCATGTGAGGAAAAATTACTTTCCTAGAAAAGCTGAGAACAACAGACAACAACACAGCTTACTGGGTCACAACACAAAACATCTCAGTGTGATTTTAAAAATAGTTCCATGGCCCAGTGGAAAATCTCAGATCCTGACTGGGTTCCAGGTCTCCCTTGGCAGCACACAGATCTGGGTCAAGCATCAGGTGGCTTTCTGGGTGACCTTGAACAAGCTCCCCAGTCCACCCCACAGTCCTGGAGCCCATTAGTGGCTCCCGACCATTCTCCACACTGACATCCCTGAGGTGGAATGTGGTCAACTCAGCATGTGTTAGGTCTTGGGTTCCATCTCCAGCCTGGCAGCAGGGAGAAAGCGTGAGAGCTTTTGGTGCACACATCACCACCCCCAGCTTCCATCTCGGACTCCATGACAGAATTGTGCACCCACCCAGGAGCAGTTCCCAGACTCCACACACTGGACTACCCAGAGCCTTGGCAGGATGGGCCAGCTGACCATGCTGAGCACTCCTAAAGGCATGCCCACTGCCCAGACCCCAGACATCAGACTGAGCCCTTCATTTTCTCATCTCCTTTACTTTCTGATCTGAGGCAGCAGGACCCACCCACACAAGCAAGTGAAGGCTGCAGCAGCTGCCCAGGAGCTCTCTCCACTTGGGCCTTCCTGTCAGCGTCTCCTCCTCCAGGAAGTCTCCTCTCCACTCTGGCCTCTCCACCAGCATTACTGAGGGGGGACTATAGCTGCCTCTCTCTCATGCCCTCAGAGTTCCTGAGCCACTCATGATGGTTACCCACTGTCCATAGGCTGCTCTCCAGCCCTACACTGTGTGTGCACAGCTAGAACAACCAGCTACCTGTAGAGTGTCCCAGAAGCCAATCTTGTGATCTTCCATACCTGGCTGCCTATTACACCTTTAGAAATAGCACCCAACCCTGGCAGAGCCACAGAGGCTTCCTTAAAGCAGGACAGAGCCAAAGCGTTCGGTTTGCCTGCCTACAGGGCAGGGATGTCCCACATCCTCAGGCCCTTGTAGATGCCCCAGTGCTATGCTAGAGGGGCCAGGCCTCCTTGAGACCCTTTGCCCCAGGGAATCTGGTGAAACCAGCTGGGCCAAGAGCAATTGGAAACATTCACATCACGGATGTAATGTGGGGTGGGATTAGGTGGAAGACAGCTAACTTCCATCCCTCGTCCCCAAAGCCCTGATGCAGAAATGACCCTCCCAGGAGCCGTGTGTGTGTGTGTGTGGGGGGAGCAAAGGCTGACTGTATTGCTCTCCACCTTAGTTTTTGAGACAAGGTCTCTCACTGATCATGGACTTTGCCAATTTGGCTAGATTGACTGACCAGTGAGCTCCTGGGATCCCTAAGTCCATTTTCCCAGCACTAGGATTGTGGCACAGTGCCACCTTGGCAGGCTTTTTACATGGGGATCCAAACTCAGGTCCTCATGCTTGCATGTCAAGTATTTTACCAACTGAGGCATTTCCCCAGCCCCCCTTAGTTTGTTTATTGTTGCTGTAATGGAACCCTGGAGACTGGCTAATTTATAAAGGAAAGAGGTTAATTTCAATTCACAGTTCTGGAATTTCAAGACAGCATACAGTCAGATCCTTGGTGCTCCTTAGCTGTACTGTATCATGCTGGAGAGGCAGAGGAGGTAGGCAAGAGCACACAGAAGGGTCACAGGACAAGGTTCACAGGCAGGAGAAAGTCAAGGAAGCCAAACTCACTCTGCAACAGTCCAGTCTGGGGATGATTGATTCTGCTTAGAGGGAACTACACTAATGCCTTCCTTCATGAGCCAAAGCGCCGTTTGAAGGTGCCAGCACCTCTCCACACAGTCATGTTAGGGACTAGGCCTCAATGTGAGTTGTGGTTGGGATACATCACATTCAAACCATAGTGCATAGGCAAACAGGCAAATGCTATAAACCAGGATCAAGATGTTTAATCCGTGTCACTCATAAGCAATGCAATCATAATGTACTTGGTCATGGCCACTGACCTGCCTCCCACAACAATGCTCTTACAAAACCCCTTCCACTGCAGTGGGAACCAAATCTAACCAAGAGCAGCAGAGCCTCTGTGATCAGCTTCCTCTATAGTCTGCACACACCTGCCTCAGATGTCAATGTGGGCAAGGACAAGGGAGCCTCTGGGGACAGCAGCAAAGAGAGGCCTCAGTCAGGTAGACACCCAGGAGCTGCCCCAGGAGAGAGCAGGAAAACATCTGCTGCCCCAGGAGAGATCAGAAAACCCCACTGAGCACACCTGGATCTCAACCCACAGCAACTATGAGCTTATTAAAAAGCATGTGCACAAGACCAAGCCAGTCAGCAGTCTAGCACAGAGGAGGAAGTACTCAGGACCCTTATCCCTAGCTGAGGAACTACAGCCAGGTAATGGCTTCTGGGGGAGGGAGAGTCAGTTTTCTTTAGGGGTGTGGCTCCTGGTAGCTCAATCATGCTCCAGTGAATGGCCACACTCAAACTGGCAGCACAAACTGGAACTGGACTGGGTGTGTTGAGAGAGAGAGGGGGACAGAGGAGAAGGGAGAGGAGAGAGGGGAGAGGGGAGAGGGAGAGAAGTTGGAAGGGGGTAGGGTGCTGGAGGTGGATCTGGAAGGAGCTAGGAGAGGAATTGGGGGACTATGATAAAAATATATTTTATGCATGTGTGAATTTCTCAAAGAAGTAATAAAAATATTACATTAAAAAGAAGTGTGGGATATTTTATTCTTTAAATATTTTATTGTTTTTATTTTGTGTATATGAATGCATTGCCTGTATGTGCGTAAGTGAACCTGTGTCATACAGTGCCCACAGAAGTCAGAAGAGGGCATCAGATATCAGATCCCCTGGAAATGGAGTTACAGATGGTTGTTAGCCACCATGTGGGTGCTGGGAATCAAACCCGACCCTCTGCAAGAGCAGCTGGTGCTCTTAACCACTGAGCCATCTCTCCAACCCCACACGTGATATTTTAAACTGCTGAGTTTTAGGATAACTTACTAGACAACAATAGAAATTAATACAATCAAATGTAGTTTTCTATTTAGCAGATTTGTGTATGGGGTATGTGTGTATGTGTTGCATGCATGTGCAGGAGTACATGTATATGCAGGTATGTGGAGGCCAGAGGAGGACGGAGGGTGTCCTGTTCCTCTATCATGCTCCATCTTTTTCCCTTGAGACAGGGTGTTACTGAACCTGAAGCTTGCCATATCAGCTATCTGGCTGGCCAGAGAGCTCCCAATGCTGGGTTACAGGTGTACCGGCAGCTTATCTTCAGCTTTTACCTGGGTCAGGGGATTCAAACTCAGGTCTTCATTCTTACCCACTGAGCCATCTCTCCAGCCCTTAGCAAACTGTTAAAGATCAGAAAGGCTGAACCAGGCACATGCCTTTAATCCCAGCTCTTGGGAGGCAGAGGCAGGTGAATCTTTGTGAGATCAAAGCTAGCCTGGTCTACATAGTGAATTCTAGGCCAGTTGGGGCTACAGGGAGACCTTGTCTCAAAAAGACCCCCCCCCAAAAAAAAAAGATCAGAAAGGCTGGCAATAAACTGCCCATTAACTGTTCAGGAACATGCATCTAACAGTTTTCCCTAAAGTAAAAAAGTGATATGGTGATGTCTATCCAAGCACACACGCAGGTCATCTTGGAGCCAGCAGCTCCACTTGCCGTAGTCTACCACTGATTGCCCCTCGCCAGTGGGGCCACTTCCCCAGTTTATTCACTATGGCATTTGGTAGTAGCATTATGCTATGTTGTTGCTATGAGGTGAACTGTATACCCACAAATTCCTGTGTCAGTCTTAATCCTCCATGTCTCAGGACCACTAGGACAGATCTAACCCTACATGACCAATGTCCTTATAAGAAACAGAGACAGATAGGAAAGGACCTGGGAGGAGAGACCCTAGAGGAAACCAACCTTTAACACCTTGACCTTAGGGTTCCAGTTCCTGGAATGGAGACAAAATAGCTGCCCCTCACTCTCTCTGCCCTCACTCCCTCATCTGCTGACTCTGTTACAGCAGCCAGAGCAGACCTGCACAGCTGGTAACGCACAGGAAGTGGTCAAGGGAAATCTGGCATGTGTAGGTGGGATTAAGGCTCCATGAGCTGATCCACTGTCATGCTGCACTTAACGGGTTATTTTAGTCTTTGTCACTAGTGACTTAAGAACTTCCTTTCTTTTAGGCTGCCCACTTCTCAAGGTCCTCTCCTTCATATAGGTCTTTCTCACCTGAAAGTAGTTGAGAAGCAAGCCAGCGCAGGCCAGCCCCAGGCCAGCAAACATGAAGGGCATTGCCACCTGCAGGCCAATGGATAAGGCAGTCTCCCTGCTGGGTTCAGCCTCCAGTGGTTTGGGACATACACTTTGGCTGTCAGAAGTCCCCAGATGTCCATCTTCTGAAACCTCTGCTAGTCTTCCTGTGTTCTGAGCAGGTGGTAGCCCCAACTCCTTTAGCCTGCCAGAGCCTTCCAGCCTCCGCTGTCGGGACTCAGTCCCTTCCATTGAAATATAGCACACAGCTGAGTCCGGCAGCCCTGACCTGTAGACACAAGGAGACAGGGTTGAAGGGCAGAACTCCTGACTCCTCTGGACCTCAGACCCCATCCCTCCATCTAACAGCCTTCACTCAGGGCCAGCTCCCATAGCCTCCCACACTCCAACTCCCAGCAATTTGTTATATGTATGTGTGTGAGCATGAAACATGCCCGTAGAGGGAAGCACTAAGCCCAGCACTAAAGGCCATAACAGGTGGGGTATGGGACTACCAAGCTCCCTCTTGACCAACCAATTAAAGACCAGGGGAGGGGCCTGCTGGAGAGTTAGCATAGCAGTTAAGAGCTCCTGTTGCTTTTGCAAAGGACCAGAGTTCAGTTCCCAGGACCCACACTGGGTGGCTAACAACTGCCTGTAATTCCAGCTCTAGGGGATCCGATGCCCTCTTCTGGAGAGGGGGGGAGGGGGAGGGAGGGA